TTAGTTCTTTAGAGCACACAAATATGAGCAAAATAATGTCAATAAGGTACACCAAAAGAAGAGCTTCGTAGTATCTGTCAGGCACAGTTGTTTAGAATCATGAACTGAAAGCAGTAATGTAGCCGGTAGTCCTTTTTGCTATTGTGTCTGTCATTTAGATTTCTTTCCTTGGGACAATTTTAACCTCCTACTTTCCACACACCCCCCCCCCACCCCCAAACATGTTATTTCCCCCGAACATGTTATTTCCCCCTCCAAAAGAAGGATTTGTTTAGTTTGGGGTACAAGAAGTCGAACCCTAATGTGTAGCCTAAACTAGCATGAGAAGACCAGATATTGAGGCTTGAATGTGTATTACAGTGACTGAGCTATTCAATGAATAGTAATTGAACCAGGTGTTGCCACCTTGGAATGGCTGATCATATGAGTCATTGCTGGACCATACCACCTGAGTGAATAGTACACCTGGTGTGCTGTGCTTGCATTCTGACTTAATTTACCAAATGAAACTGTCTTATTTTTAAAATTATTTTACACATCACAGAAGGTGTTTTGTTTTTATATTTTAGTGACTACTGACTAAAAACAACAAACTATTTTGATAAAGGGATATTTCCAATCACCGCAATCATCTCACCATGAATTTTGTGTTTGTTGGTTTCTAATTCCAACAAAAGCTGTCAGATGTGCTTAAATGGGACACTTCCTTATTTTAATTTAATATGTAACTTTTCATGGTCCATCAATTTTTGTATTATGCCCGTCACTTATTTATGTAGTGAAATGTAAATCGTTAAATCCAGGATTTAAAGTTTGAAAAAAATTCGGAATCCATCAAACTTGATCTTTGAGACCCATCTTATACAAACATATTGTAAATATAAGCAGACTTATAGAACTATCGACATAATGCCAACCCGTGGGATAACAAAAACTGTACAAAAAGTCCCAAAAAACTGTAAAGTGGTATGAAAAACAGTACAGAAAAATAATAAAGTAGAAAAAATTATAATTTATACTTTTTTTTTCAGTAGCAGTTTTATTAAAAATGGACAGATAATGAATTGGATAGCAATTTAGATATATTTGGATATAATTCTTTGGTTAATTATGCTATTCATAGTAAATACAGATTCCTGCAAAATAAAGTCTGTCTTCACAAAGTTGTTTACCTTCAACTTATAACTGTATTTTTCATCATACCGGAGAGATTAAGGCCATGCTGTTGTACTAAATAGGAAAACTGACTAATGCTAGTCATTGATTGATTGTAATATTAATATATTTAATTATTTGATATAAATTAAAAGAACAAATTACTAACATGTGGCAGATTTGCTAAAAATTACCCAAAACGGACTTGTAATTATGGTTTACTGCTCAAAGTTCCATATGTCTTGTTGTTTTGCTTTTTTTCACAAGCCACGCTATACCCAGGAATATAACTGTTTATATACCAGTATTTAGTATAAATTAGCACTTTAAAAAATCTCTTTCAAAATGCTAATGGAAAACCTTTTAATATATATATGCCAGAGATTAGAATTAGGTAAAAAAATACAAAGAGCAATAACATTTTTTTAACTTTTAGAAATTAACATAATTTATGAATGTGAATTTTTAAACTGAATTAACTCTTTCAGTTATTTTTCCTGGACATTTACCAGTAAATGAAACATGTAAATACAGCAAAGGGGAATAACTGTTTAACAAAGTCATTTGCTGGGAGCAACAAGAAAATTTCAACATATTAAAAAATATAATAGTTTTATTCTGTTTTCAGATATCTGCTGTAAATTGAACAAATTCTCAAATTGAAAATACACAGCCGTGCCTCACAAACATGACACACTGAATGGGTCAAGGTGAAAGCCATATAAAAGTCCAATCCATCAAGATAAGTAAAAAGCTTTCACCCCATGAGTCCAAGTAGGCTACTTACTAAACCAGGAGGTCTGGAGAACGAAGATCCATTTTGGGGGTTTAATCAAAGATGAGTTCATCCAAAGCCCCTGGTGTTGCCAGATTTGGACATGGGTAAGGAAATTGAATCTCCTTGTTGTTTCCCCTATTGCTCATTGCCGCAGGCCAGCACCAACAAAGACCTCAAAATATATAAGCTTTCTACACTTTTATTGAACTTAAAATTTTTTAAGTAATATTTGTTTGATTTTAGAACCCAGAGATTAAAGTAATTGTAACAGCTCAATTAAAAGAAATTTTTTTTTTCTAGTTTATTTTTGTTTGGGTCACAGTCACTATGATGAAGTCCTGAACCAGCTTTTTCTGTTGTTGCTTATAACATATGGCATATTGTCTTCCAGATTGTACCATATTTACTTAAGTTTTCAGACAACCTTGAGTTCTGATATATTGTAAATATGACCATTAAGGAATGATTAAATCATCTGCATCCACAGGTTTCACTCACTACTCACTCTATATATTCGCAGAAGTCCAAACTTCACATATCATTTTTTTATTGACCAAATTACACAATATAAAATAAGTTACACATTGATGAATATTAGTTGATTTCAGCACACTCTCATTATAATCAATTCCTTTAGCACAATACATTTGATTAGACCTTCCAGCTACCAACTTGATAATTACTTTATCACAATAAATCTTCTTTTCCATTTCTACCTTGTCTCTCTTTCAATCCTTTTTCTATTGGGTGCATATCCTTACTCATATACTAAATTGTGCTATTCACTCTACTCTAAAAACCTCAAATACCAATATATTACATGGCTTATGTCTACTTTCAACAAGACCAGATATGGAATAATAGATATTGTAGAGCAGGCCTACACAACTCAAAATGTAAGGCAGACCGTAATATTTGATGAAAAATTTGTGCGGGCCAAAAGATAATAGGACAGAGGGGAATGCTATTAAGAAAATAATAATAATAAAGAATATTTCGCAACTTCACAGGCCTCAAAGTGGATGCTGGTGGGCTGCATGCCGCCCGCGAGCCATATGTTGGGCAGGCCTGTTGTAGAGGGTTTACTGAAGCTAATCTCAGGTGCTCTGGATGATGAATGAGCAAGTAACTTTAGTGGGAAGCAATTGGGTTATGACCCTTTGTACAGCCTTGAAGGGGGATTTCCCTTCCATCTGCAACAAAAGCTTAAGTAGTTTAATTAAGTTCACAACCTTGTCATTGTCAAATTTCACCATTCAAATCTAGAGAATGAGATACATTATGTCCCGTGGATAAGTTGATGGAGATATCAGCGTCTGTCAAAAGATAATATTTTCTCTTCTTCCTCTTCTATATTTTAAGGGCCCACTACATTTTGGTTCCTAAGGGGAAGATTTGCAATGTTTCTGTGCCTGGTGTTGATGAGGATATTTTACTGGTTGCAAGGGCTACTTTGTGAGGGTCTGCACTGGGGTTTGGAAGGCCTGAGGCAATAGATGAAAATGTGTCAAGTGTTGTCGCCTCAACTGTTCCTTTTGAAAGCTTGTTCTATCCCTGATTGTCTTTGGCAGGAATGAGCAGTTCCTATTCTGGCTTCTAGCTGGTATGAGCCGGCATTGCCTGTCATGTCCTCATTGCTGTCTATAGGGGAGAGGGATGAGTTCTGTTTAATACTGGAACAGTGGATCAGCTCATTATTTATCTTGTACATTATGGAGAGCATGGATTGTCATCGTCGCTCTTTCAATGGTGACCAACCTAGTGTTTCTAGCATGCTGCCAACACTAGAGGTATTCCTGTAACGGTTCAGGACAAAGCGTGCTGCCCGTCGCTGGACCGCCTCCAACCTTTCAATGCTCTTCTGGTTAAATGGGTCCCAGATTGAAGATGCATAATCTAAAACCGGACGGACAAAGGCTTTATAGGCCTTCTTTCACACAGGAGTTGCCAATCTTTAGATTACGCCTTAAGAACCCCAGGGTCTTGTTTGCCTGGTTGCACTGGTTCAAGTATATGGCAATGCAGTTCATATTGGTAGTGTAGAGGAGTACAACTTCTAGAGTGACAGTGTCTGGCACTTGGCAGGGTGAAATTCCATGTCCCATTAATGAAAAAAAAATTAGTTATTAGCTTAATTTTAAAAAATTCTTAATTAAAATGTAGGTATTTTTTTTCATTCTAAAAATATTATTTTCAACATTAGAACACGATTTTCTATCCCTTAAGAGTAATAATCCCAAATATAAATGAAGCAATAGTAATATGATGACTATTTTTAGATTAATTCATTTCTAAATTTCTATCAAAGTCTAGGTTTTTTTAAAGTAGAACCAATGTAGTGCCCATCTGTTGACAGCATTGAATCAAATAAATTTTCACTGACACAATGGAAATCAATACATCTTATGGCTTTACTCAGCTAGAACAGTGTTCCCCAAACTTATACTAGCTAGCACCCACTTTAAGTCTAGTAATGCAACTCCACTTGCCCCCTGGATATGGAAAGGTGACTAAATCCACACCTTAAGGATAAAGTGTTTGTGTTCCTTCTTGCCACATCCCCTCCCCTCCCCTCAAAATGATTGTAACAAGTTCTGTCTCCAGTTCAGGCTACAGAAAAACTGATGACAAAAACTTGAGTGATGATCTCAACTATGTCTAAAAATGTTTTCAATCTGAACTATGTTTTTAAATGTTTTAAATGTTACTGCACCTGCTGACCTGTTGATAGTTTTATGTATCAAATCTAATTTTAGAATGGTAGGAACCTCAAAAGCTATTTCAATCCCATTTTGTTGTGCTCTTAGAAATAACTTAAGTAACAATTTAAACATAATAAAATTTCCTAACATTCAATGGTCTAACAGGACTATTCCTCTACTTATGCCTGCCAACAAGCCCTCAGTGGGGGATTCATTGCAACACTTTGGGATCCCTTGAGCTGGAGTGTTCCGATGGCTATTAATATCTCAAAAAACCATAATAATAATAATAATCAATGAAGAATGTAGTTATAATCACCATGTACCAAATGTACTGGTCCTCTGTGGATATAATCAATAGGGCTCAAGATGTGTATATGAAGCTAGCCAGTCATTCTCATCAGACATTGTTACGTGCTGGCAGGATATGCTGCAGAATAAGACAGTCAAGTTTTAAAACATTTAATTTGTTCATCTAGAAACATTGTTAACAATTTCTACAAGAAATTTTTTTTATAGCTATGACACTTTAATGGGTGTTATAACGTGTCCCAAATTTGATAAAAACTGCCTTGCATTTGTTTACTGAGAGAAAATAACTCAAAAATGACTACCAAATCATCTGACACAAAAGAGGAAAGTGAAATAAAAAGGTTGTCTAAGACATCTTTATCCGGATCATATTCTCCTTCTGTTAGTGAAAATGATGTGCTTGACAGGTAGGTTACAATTTCTCAAAATTAAAAGTACAGTTTTTAAGGCTATTCTTAAAATTTTTCTAGAAAGTATGATGGTTTATAAAAAAAAAGGTCCACTTTCATGGCTAACAGACATTTCTTTGTTGTTTGTGAAAATAACCTTTCAATGTGTGAGGCTGCTATGAAAATTATGCCACCTTCTTAATCACATAATTGAAGAGAGGATTCTTTTACTATTGTTTTATGCACAGCATTGTAAAGTGTGTGTCCAGCAAAGGAATGGAAAATCCTAGCATCACCACTTTGATGGAGATTATTTGAAGGCCATTGCAAAAACCAAGATGGCAAAAATCTGAATAGTTCATGATCAAACAGTTGGACTTTTTTTTAAATTAAAACTTCTATAATTTTTTATTTCAATTTCATTATTGACCTTGTTTTGTCACAAGACGTTTAGTTTGTTCCCATTGACCTTGGGTCAACTAAATAGGAAAGCTCAAATTTTCACGAGAAAGAATGTGACTTAAGTGTCAGCAGTTCTATGAAGCTGGTTCTTGACCCTCTCAACTTTCCATACACTGGATTTACTAAGTCCACAATTCTTAATTCCCAACTGCTTCAGCATCATTCCGCATAATATAACATTTTAGCACACTAAATTGAAATAGATGTTGATGAGTTTAGTTTCTTTAGAGGAAGTATCAATTGTAATACTTGTTATAGAGCTTCAAATGTCAAAACTTCTGAATAAAGCAGGCATCTGTGGAACTGCACTTGGCTGGTTTTCTTCTTATCTGACTGACAGGACTCAGCTTATTGTAGTGAATCAAGCATCTTCCATGGACACTTCACTTACCTGCGGCATGCCACAGGGCTCAGTTTTAGAACCTATCCTATTCTCCATTTACCCAGCCAGCTTGGAAGAATTATTGAAAGTTAAGGTATATCCAGCAAATTATTTGCGGATCACATGGAAATGTTCAAGAGTTTCCGCCCTGAACCTTTGGACTATGCTGCTGCTGTGCAAGCTGTCGAGGATTGCTGTCTTGTGGTGAAATCATGTCATCAAACAGATTTAAATTAAATAATAAATAATAATAAAGTTCATTTCAAAAACACGCTTCATCCCCAAAGTCTCGATGCGCAGTACAAAGTCAACAAAACACAAGTCTATAATTTACCACATTTAAAACAAACGCAACACTACAAAAACTAATTACTAGCATACAATTGCAAAGTCTTTCTAGCCATTTCAACCCCAAGCAACACAGCCATTATGCATTAACTGGAAAATAAGGTTGACAATCATCCCAGAAAGTGTTTGCGAAATAGGTGTGTCTTTAAATTGGTTTTAAAGGACTCCAGTGTCTGGTTGTTTCTGAGATCGACAGGAAGGGCGTTCCAAATTGTTGGACCAGCAAATGCGAAAGTGCGCTTTCTGTAAGTCTCAAGGCAAACACGTGGTGTTGAGAGTTTGCCACTATCGGATGAGCGGAGCTCTCTAGTGGGTACATAAGAAAGAGGCAATCATATGTGGTTCTGATGTCGATAATCGGAAGGTTGTTATTTCTTCAATAAAAGTTGGTTCTTGTAAGATTCCCTTGTCTAACATGATTAGAGACCTTGGCTTCTACACTGACAGCAAGCTTACTATGATCCCTCAAATCAGTTCTGTGGTTGGGGCTTTTTTTTCTGTCATCTTCGTGCTCTGGGTCAGCTGTGTCCTCAACTTAATAAGAGAACAGCCAATGCTGTAGCAATAACTCTAATCAAATCAAGATTAGATTACTGTAACAGTTGTTTGTGGGGTTTCCCTCAAAACCAAATTCACAGGCTCCAGAAGATACAAAATACTGCATCACGCATTGTATCGCTTATAATGAAATCTAATCACACCACCCCATTTCTTAAAGATCTCCATTGGCTTCCTGTGAGTAAGCGCATTGAATACAAAAATCTGTTTGTGGCGTATAGCTGTATAGAAGGCTCTGTACCTGTATTTCTTCAAAAACTGATTTCTAAAAATGTATTCATACAGAACCTGTGCTCTTCAACACAGTTCTTACTGGGAGTTCCTAGTGTGGATGGACACAGAAAGAAGTCATATGGGGTGCACTCTTTTGAAGCTGTTGCGCCTAAATTGTGCAACAGTTTGCCTTAATCTTTGAGGGAACTTGAAAATGATAAAAAGTCACTAAAGACATTTTTTAAAAAAAAATAGATTTTAGGACATCAGATCCCTGTGAGCATGCTAAAATAGCATGAAACAAGCACTATAAAAGTACTCAATCATCCTCATCATCACCTACTTAAAAATTACATTTACAATGAATTTTTTTTAAAGTGGTTTTATTTTTTCTCTTTAGAAACATTTCCTCATTTTCATCTAATTTGACGGCTTGGGGCTTTTATCTTTAACAGAATGGTGGACCCATATGGCTTTGAGAGGACACAAGAATATGACTTTGAATCTTACGAACAATTCATGTCTACATACTTGTCTATACTTGCCAGGAGGGCCTCAAGATGGAAAGCAAATTTTGATGATAAAACTAAATTTACAAGATCATTAAAATGTAAATATTTTGTTTATCTTAAGAGACATCTAAATTTTTTTTAGACTTCTACTAATGTGTTGGAAACAAGATGACGTTATTAAAGTTTTAATTTTAATTACTCTATCCCCAAGTTTGGTGATCAAATAAGATGTCAAACGTATTTTCAGATATCGTCTTATTACATACATAATAAGAAATACTCATAATTAAACCAGAAATTAAAAATTAACTTTTTAGACAGGTCAGTGCTATAACTTTAATATTAATATATAAACAATAATTATTGTAACTAAAATAATATAATAAATCTATAATTAGAAAAACTTGACTATCTAAAATTAAATTAACAATTAATGAACATACAATAATTATTAAAATCATTAAATATTTCAAAGTTGGTTAAATCTATTGAAATAATATCCTATTTTTTTCCAGTGAAACGTTTTTGTAGAAAAGGAATTCCTGGTGACCTCAGGCCAGATGTAAGTATTTATTGTTATTAAGTAATATCACAAGATTGTAGGATTTATATGATATAATTATCTACAACATCTGAGACAAATAGCAAAATATATATACCCACTTCTGTGCAATTTAAAACCATGTTTTTAAACAATTAATCTTGCTCTATCCTGTACTAGAGTGGTGCCCTTTAAAAGTGTGTCATCCTTTAAAAGTGTGTCATCCTTAGAAAGTGTGTCATCCTTTAAAAGTGTGTAATCCTTGGAAAATGTGGTGTCCTTTGAACCTGTGTCATCTTTTGAAAGTGTGGTGTCCTTTACAAGTGTTGTGTCCTTTCAAAGTGTATTATCCTTTGAAAGTTTAGTATCTTATGCTAGGTTCGTATCCTGATACATAGTATCCTATGATAGTTTGGCTAGGTTGGCATCCTGTTACATAGTGGTATCCTACGTTAGTCTGGTGATCTAAGACAGTGTTTGGCAAACTCATTAGTCAAAAGAGACAAAAATCTATTCAAGAACCTTATTTTTGGAGTCAAAATCATTTTGTGGATGACTGGCCGAGCCACACTCAAGTCGCTAAAGAGCCACATGTGTCTCGTGAGCTGCGATTTGCCCACCACTGATCTAAGATAATGTTGCATCCCAAGACAGTGTGGTAGCCTAGTAAGAGATAATATTGTGCTGTTTGATAGTACAATAATTTGTTTATCTGATTCAAGGTCTGGATCCAAGTCAGTCAAGCAGTGAAGAGAATGTCAGCTGACCCTCAAAAATACTCAAGACTTAGAAGTCAACAAACGGATCCAGCTGTGAGTGATTCAATTCTCTTAGGTAAAGGAGTTTTGGACATTGTCATTGCTTAATATGATGTTCAGTGCTTTTTATCCTCCAAGTCAATAAAGACAAACAAAAAACTATAATGTAATTTTCAATTGTTACCTGCTTCAAGTAGACGTGTTAGTAAATGACCCAGGATCATATTTTACTATTGTTCCCCTTGAAACAATGTGCTTTAAGTTAGACATACAAGCAGTGTGTTTTAATTGAGACATACGCAATGTGCTTTAAGAGAGACAACATACACAATGTGCTTTAAGTGAGACATACACAATGTGCTTTAAGTGAGACATACACATTGTGTTTTAATTGAGACATACACAATGTGCTTTGTGAGACATACAAGCAGTGTATTTTAATTGAGACATACACAGTGTGCTTTAAGTGAGGCATATTCACAATGTGCTTTAATAATAATAATAATAAAGTTTATTTGAAAAAATCATGCTTCATCCCCAAAGGCTTCACGCACTGTACAAAGTCAACCACATTAAAAGAGAAATGAAACAATCTATAATTTACCACATTGAACGCAAAACGCAACACGCAACATTACAAAAACTACAAATGAGAATACTCATTCAAAGTCTTTCATCCCTTGCAACCATAAACAACAAAAGCCAACATACAGCTAGGAGATAATAACTAGCTGGAAAAGATGGTGTTTGCGAAATAGATGTGTTTTCAAAACGGTTTTGAAGGATTCCAGTGTCTGGCTGTTTCTGAGAGCGTCAGGAAGGGTGTTCCAAATTGTTGGCCCAGCAAATGCAAAAGTGCACCTTCCGTAAGGCGAACACGTGGTATCGAGAGTTTGCCTCTATCGGATGAGGGGAGTTGTCTAGTGGGTACATAAGGCGTCATGATAGGACGGTGCCAGGTCATGCAAGCATCGGTAGCACAGAGTAGCAAAGCATGTTAATGTGATTTTCCATAGTTAGTGTTCTGTCAAAGTAGACACCCAGGTTTCCCACTGTGTGAGCAAACTCAATCTGCACACCTGAGATAGTAAGGGATGGTGTGTTATTTACAGATTTTAGCTTTTGAGCAGTAGCAATGGGGATCAGCTCTGTCTTTTCATCGTTCAATTTGAGCTTGTTCATGGTCATCCAGTGCTGACTCCACTGTCTTCTGTGTCAAACTAAGAAGCTGAGGGAACTGGGGGGGGGGGGGATCACGGATCACTGAAGTTGGGTATCAACCACGAACATGTGATACAGCATATCAAACTGCTTGATCACTGCACCCAGGGGCTGAACGTACAAAGTGAAAAGCACTGGGGTACTTCAAATCAAATAATAGATTGCCTCGAGGTCAGGCCGTTTGTGATAACTGATTGGACCCGATTTGTCAGATGCAAGCGCAACCATCTCAGGGCGGTATCTGTGAAACCGAACCTTTTTTGCAGTATGCAGTGGTCAAGCGTATTGAACGCTGCCAATAAATCATGTAACGACAAAAGTGATATCTTGCCCTCACCACAAGATGACAGAAGGTCACGTACGACGTGCAATATGGCTGTCTCAGTAGAGTGATGTGCCCTGTATGCTGACTGGAAAGCCTCAAACAAGTCACACTGAGTGGGGTGATCCAGGAGCTGGCAGAGAACAACTTTCTCTAAAATTTTGAATTTTCCAACATATTTGGGTCGCGATTTGCCTTCTTTAGCAGTGGAGTTACAACCGCCTCTTTAAAATAGGACGGAACAATACCAATTTTAAAAGACTTATTTATGATGTTAGTTATGATAAGGACTATTTCATGGTAGACTGGAGCGGGGCAATAATTTTCCAACACATTAAGGTCAAGATTTGCCTTCTTTAGCAGTGGAGTTACAACCACCTCTTTAAAATAGGATGGACCAATACCAGTTTTCAAAGACTGGTTTATGATACTAGTTATGATAGGGACAATTTTATCCAAACATTCATACAACAGCCCTGCCAGAAGAGGGCCTAGCAAACATGACTTTCTTGGGGAGTCAAACAGGATTTTCTTCACATGCGATTCAGTGACATCCAAAAATTTGCTCATAGGATTGCCGTTAAATGGCAAGAATTTGGGAGTATCGGTGCAAATGTCAAGTCTCCTCCTGATCTTCGTAACTTTTGAAATAAAGAACTCATTCAGAGGGTCTGGCAGCTCGCCTACGGCAATGCTATTTGGCAAAGATGTGTCTTTCTGTTTACTGGGTCAGCTGACCCTCCATATGAAGTAGGTCCCTACTTGAGCTGCAATCTACATTTTGGTGACTGACATGGGACCAACTTCTTTGTTGGTTCCTTGTGATCAAAAAAGATTGGTCGGTGCATGGTCAAGCTAGACTTCCACCACTTGCGTTCTGCACGTCGCTGCTTCTGCTTTGCAACCTTTATTTTGGGCATGAACCATGGAGCGGAAGGGCGGTCCGTAATGTGCCGTGTGGACAGGGGCACGTGTTTGTCTAAAGTGAGTCTGAGGCCACTGTTGCAGTCTGTTGCAGGGTCTTCTTCACGGCACCTGATGGCGGTGACGTCACACCTGAAGGCCACTAGATCTGTCTTTTGGATGTGACTGTGCGCAGAAGGATTCCTGGCTTCCTCAAGTCAAAATCAAAGGTTACTGGGAAATGATCAGAGATCAGTTTGTTCTCAATAATGAGGTTGCGAATCATAGCTGCACAGTCCTCTGACAACCAGCCAATCTAGGATGTGACCACCGTTTCAGTGTCAGGACACTGACAAGCTGAGTCATTCCATGTGTGTCAAGAACTGATTTTAGGGTCTTCACATAGCTGTTGGTGGTGGAATCAAAATGGCAGTTTGTGTCGCCGATTATGATGACGTTGTTGTTGGTGGAGGCGTACATGTCCTGGCGTTGTATAAACTCAGCAGTAAACTGACAGATCTTCAACTTATTCTGCTTACTAGGAGGTGTTGCCTGTATGTGCATAGAAACGTCATCACTTGGTCACCATAATTAAGTTGCAAGACATTGCTAAGTTATTTTATTGTTGAGTGTTTGTTTTGTTAATCTCTCTCTATATACATTCGATATGATTTTTATTTTCAGACATCCACCGCACATTTCCAGAAAATGTTTTCTTCAGTCAGCTTGGGACCCCAGGGTCCTTGAGGGTGCCTTTACAGAATGTTCTAGAAGCCATTTCTTTGAGCAATCCACATATTGGATACTGCCAGGTAGAAATTTACATTAGTCCAGGTTTGCGGATTTCACTATGTGAAACTTATGAAAATATGTACTATGGTGGTTTTAAAGTTTTAAAAAATCTCAACTATGAAGCTATGAAGTCTGTTACATTTTCAATGAAGCTGAATAAAATGTTTTATTAGAGGGATCATACTGTGACATTTGAAATCAACAGCTTCTTAAAAAATTGAAAAACTTCAAGCATAAATTGAAATGTTTTTTCAACAGGGGATGAATTTCATAGCTGGTCTGCTGCTGTTGGTTGTGAAGTCAGAAGAGAAGGCTTTCTGGCTGATGGATACTTTAATACAAACAATTCTGCCAGGTGATCAATTTTTTTTAAAAACCAATTTTTTTTTTTGGCTTGAAGACCTATAATTAGTTATTTTAAAAGTGTATCTGGACAGGTGATTTAATCCAACACTCAGTTCATTGCTGTCTCTAGGATTCAGTGCTTGAGTTTGTTTTTTTAATTTAGGGCTTACTTCCTCCCTAAGAATAGCTAACTGGCTGTGTCTATTTTCCCATAGTGTAGTACCACCCAAGATGAACTTGAACCTGCCACCTCATGCTTGTGAGTTTATATGGACCAAAAAGACTTCTGTATGCCTTCCAATGCCTAATATTTCACATCCTCCATAATCAACCGTCACCTTTTGTGCTAACTAAAACCCAAGTGCATTGTCTGGTATGCCCTCCAATTATGATATCAATTGTTTCAACTGATCTTATTGAGATCTAAAAAAAACATAAGTTTTATTTTTGAGTTAAATTTTTTTTTTTAATTACTGTATTTTCTGCTGAAGAAGGCATCTTGCCAAAACTACATTTAATTGTCTGTCTTTTCCTTTGAAGCCTAAACATATCTTGTTTCACTATTTATATACTTCAATTTATTCAGTTGCTCCATAATCCACTGTCACCACTTTGTGCTAACTAAAACTCAAGTGCACTGTCTGGTATGCCTAACAATGATCAGCTAAGTTATATCACTTACTCTGTAATCTACCGACACCATTTTTGGTAACTTAAACTCAAATGAACTCAGTCTGGTACCTCATTTAGAACAGTGTTTCCCAAACTAACTTTTCTATACTCCCTACGAATCATTTGGCCCAGTCTGGCACCCCTTGCAAAAGTAAAATACATTTTGAAGAAGAAAAAATGGATCTATCATTTTGAAAAATTTTGAATGGCTATGAACTTTGAACTTTGACAACAAACTTACATGGAACTCAGTTTTTCTGGCACCCCCTGGTGTAATCATGTCAGGGTGGGAAATGTGAAGTCAGTGAAAAGAAACCATTACTAAATTTGGGATCATTTCCCTTAGCTGGACGACTGATGCTCAACAAAAATACAGGATACAGCCACAGATTTGTGTTATAATTATCTTGACCACAACCTGGAAAACAGACAATAGGATCCTGATTGCTCTCCACTCTTCACAATTTAATCTTGATTCCTTCCCCCTGCTCACAATTTAATCTTGATTGCTCTCCCCTGATCACAGTTTAATCCTTAATGTTCTTCTCTGTTTACAGACTACTATGCGCCAGACATGATAGCTATCAAAGCTGAACAAGATCTTCTGGGCGAGGTTGTCAAGTAAGATTTAACTTTATACACTGTTATCTTTGTCCAATACACATGAGATATTTTGTGACATCAAGGTTACTGTTCCTAACTTTTGGGGATGGAAGATTTGACATACCGGTATTGGACTTTTGAATATGATAACTAAATAATTAGTCCTGTGAGCAAATCTGATGGTGATATAATATAATTTAAAATATAATTTATATTTAAACTCTTGCTTTGGATTGACTTGTATATATAATATATATATATCATCATCAATAGCACTACAGCCCATTTAGTGCTCTGGCTTTCTTCACCACATCCTTCTACTCTTACTGATAAATGGCCTTTCATCTCCATGCAACGGACCCCTAGCTGATATAAATGAGTTTGCTTACAATATATGAAAATTGATAGCATCAATCCATTACAAATCTTTAAAATTCAACTGTTGTGAAAATGACAGATCATGATAAATGAATACATTGAATTGTCAGACATTTGGAATTATTGTAATAAAGTTGAAGTTAATGTCCTTTGCGTCAGGTGGAAGCTCCCAGAGCTGCACGCTCACCTGGAAGCTCTTGGTGTCCAGTGGTGTCTTGTTGGTATGAAATGGTTCATCTGTCTGTTTGCTGATGTCATGCCTGTTGAGGTACCCATTTTTTTCCCATTGTATTTATTCAAACCTCATGGTTTGATTGAAGGCTTAAAGTTAAAAACTACATACATCTCAAGAAAACATTTTCTTTCCTTATGTATTGATTCATATTTTGCTTTGACTTGATTAGAGGTTCCAATGTCCTTTGTACCTTTATTGGCTGTCCAATCTCATTCTTACAAGGGAGCGCTTGCAGATTTGTGTTTAAACTCTGAACGTATGAAAATTTAGACTTGTTCAAAGTAATTTTTTGGAATTAATTTGAGCAATTTCTTGATTTTTTATAATAAATAAAATTAAACACTTTCACTGTGCATACTTTTTATTAAAGACAATTTCCTTTAAAATTTATTTAAAAGTATTTAAATCTTAGCTTTTCTAAAATAAAATTCAATCAAAAATTAGTTCAGTTCAATAAGAAATCAAATTAACTTGGCTTTCAGACCAAACTATCACATAATATCTACCAGAATCATTTTGTGTTTTTTTTTTTTAATATAAAAAAAGGGGGTTAGTAATGAAGCCATTTGTTTTAAAAAATGTTTTGTGTTATCTCATGTTCAGACTGTGATGAGAAACTGTTCTGTGTTGTCTCATGTTCAGATTGTGATTAGAAACTGTTCTGTGTTATCCTCTGTTCAGACTGTGATGAGAATCTGGGACTGCCTCTTCATGGAAGGATCTAAAATTCTGCTACGAGTGGCCCTGACATTGATAACACTTAACAAAGACCGTCTTCTGAAGTGCACAAACTTCCCACAGGCCGTGGATGTCTTCAAAGATATTGTTAAAGATCCTGTTACTCTGGATTGCCATTCATTTATGCAGGTAACTGTTAGGTCAGGTACTGCCATTCTGTTATGCAGGTAACTGCCATTCAGTTATCTAGGTAACTTTTAGGCCATGAACTGCCATTCAGTTATCCAGGTAACCATGAGGCCATGCACTGCCATTTATTCATTTATTAGTCTTCTAATCATCTTTCTTCCTGAAATTTATTTGACAGCCTCTCTTCATTTTCTCTGTCTCTTCTTTGTATTGCTCGCTAAGTCTTGTCTCATCTGATGCTTGGGAAAATTTAGTTCTTGTAAGTGAAATTATTCCCTTCTATTGACAGAGTATATTCACAGTGACAGGGTCCATGCCAAGGTCCAAACTACAAGCCATGAGAGAGAAGTGTGTCCGGCAAACCATCCAGTCTTAGGTGATTACTCTGTACTTGAGCTCCGACATAACAATCCCCCACCCTATATTTATTTTTGTAGGTTTGGGAGAAACATGATTGAACTGTTTCATCATTTTAGGAATTAATTAATTGACTGATGTTGGGCACTTGGTGAACACTAATCCTTTCTTTGATAATAGACCTTTAGTATTTTTGTATGCATCATGTAGTGAAAAATATTTCAAAAAAGTAAAATACGATTAATTTACAACTTTCTCAAATTGAAGGGGACCTGTCATCTGTAATATTTATTCTCAATTATGGATAGTCCTCACTTAACGACAGAGTTCAGTTCCTAAACCTAGTTTGTTTACCCAATTACTCCTTCAGCCAGGAGCTTTATCACTTTGATTTATTCTGATGAGAGTAATATTAAAAACACATAAGAGTAAGACATAAATTTGTTTTATAATTTGGGGGGGAGAGTACCCCAAAGCCTGTGAGCTAGTAATAATTATTCCAAATGGGCTGTTGAACAGGTCTATCATTAAGGTGAGTGAGGAGTACATGTGAAATAAACAGCTTATGTACCAAAATGGTTTTAAAACAACAATAAGATATATTTACTTCTTTCACTGTGCTTTATTATTATTTAGTATTTAAAATTAATTGTGGTCTATCATTAAGGTGAGTGAGGAGTACATGTGAAATAAACAGCTTATGTACCAAAATGGTTTTAAAACAACAATAAGATATATTTACTTCTTTCACTGTGCTTTATTATTATTTAGTATTTAAAATTAATTGTGTTCACAATGCCAATGTTTTTTCTTCATTTTGTTGATTCAGATTTCTCCTCTAAGCTCAAACATTCAATAGTTGTGAGTTTGTTTCACTTGGTTGACATTTGTTTTGTTTTTTTAAATTTTACCCTTAATTTAAGTTTCTTTAGGATAAACAATGTAATTTTATTGCTTATATTTGTTTAAATAACATTTTGTATTGTTAATTTTGGGACCAAATTAGATTCCAGTTTGTAAGTTAATTAATTTTTTAATAAAATAAATTATTTTATTATTGTGTAAAACAATAATATGTGCCAATTTATGTGATGTAAAAAATATTCCCCTTCATGTGCAATAATATTCATTTTTTTTAAAAATATATTGTTTTACATTTATATTTCTGATAAAAACTTGATATAAGGGAAAGCTAACCAATATACAATTTTTGAATGTAATATAACATGACTTCTGTAATGTTTGCTTAGAGTAAAGTGCTACATGTATGCTGATTGTTATATGTTGTATGTATGTTTATTTATTTTCTGTAGGTCCTGACTGAGTGGGGCCGTGTGTGCTGCAAGACTATTATTAGATGGCCATCCATTTTTTTTTAAATAATCAGCCATCCTGTTTAAACAGGAGTCCATTTAAAAAATGAACATAAAATAACATTGAGAGCTGAGCAAACTCTTGCTATTATTGCACCCTCAATAGATTGGATTCAACAGGATCCTGGTGCAGGCTTTGTAATAATATTGTTAAATACTTGAAACGGAAACAAACGGAAAGTTGAAAAGAAGAAATTGAATTTAACAAGTTACATCAAATTGTGATTTAAATCACATCCCTGAGTGTTGATTACATTTTTTAGCAGCACTAAAATTATTAAAGTAGACCTGCATAATTTAACACAAAAACTGAAATTATGGGCATGTATTAGTTTTAATTTTTTAGTGTTCACATTATTAAATGACCATTACCATTGTCCTGTCAGTATTATTCTTGTGTTGTAATTAAATTTTATTTTATAAAGAAGTAATCATTCCATATCTTTTAAAAAAGTTCATTTTATTAGGCTCAAAAGTTATCTATGGAATTTATCTATAAAACGTGTGATAATATGTATCTAATTTTCTTTGTTTTTTTTGGTTTTGAATGCTTGCGTTATTTTGATTTTGCATTTTCATCAGTTAGACATTGGAAATGCATGACGAAGTTCAATTTTAATATAGGTCAGTATGCTATTAATATTTACTGAAACTCAGAGTGTTAGAGCTCAAAGTGGAGAACAGTTGTGATTATAAAAAATGCTACTAACAAAATTTTTTTAATTGTCCAACATTTTATGATCCATTTTTATGTACATTGGCAACTTTACATATTGCGTTTATTGGAAGATTTATGGTAATAAATGTAAAAGCTGTTTACATACAGTGAGTCAGGGGAGAAATACTGGTTGGTCAAATAGTCACTCTTACTGTCCTCGTCCAGTTGTAAAAAAGTAAAAAAAAGGTAACATAAGGCAGAATGTTTGTCAAAGCTTGAAATGGAGAAAGACAAATGTGTCGACTGAAGGCTTTTTTTTCAGCTATAAGCAGGGAAATGTACAAATTACATTATAAGAAATTCTACGTGATACTAGGAAAGATCTTGATGTAAGAGAAATCGGGCGAGGAAAAGTTTGGTCAATTGAAAGAATGAAGTTGGTTGAGAAAAGTGACAGTTTTCCAACACTGTGGATAAGCCTATTCAACAGGCTTGTGCTTTAGATTTATATATCCATGTGACATGCAGAACTTGGTTATTGAAACTTGTATACTCCCAAATATTTTTGAGAACCATTCAGTTGCCTATCTGTCAAAATATGGCCATGAATTTATCATCACTCGTTTTGCATATCTTTTTTTTGTTTAAAGAACTAACATTCTATTGAATCATTGATTTCCTTGACAGATCAGTTTTAAACTTTAATTAATTAATTTTTTAATTTGCTTAAATCTTAAAATTACCACTTAAAAATTGTGCTTTTGTGTGCATGTTTAAAATGTCCAATAAAAGTGTTTACATTAATTAAGATTTAATGTGTTCAGTCAGTGCTTTTTTTGTGCCGGTAAGCACCGGTACGGCGTACCGGCACCTTTTTCAATGTGGGGAAAAAATTATTACTTTTCTTTATTTTAACGTTTATTATTAATTTATTATATTATTAATTTGTTAAAATTGAATTATTTTAAAATTGCGCGCAATAAGAATTAAAATATAAAATGGGAAACTGCTTTCCGCACACACTGTAATGTTACGTCATTGGTTATTAACCTATTTCCGGTCATGGTTGTTTTTAAGACGTAATGCCTTTAAAATTTCAAAATTTGAATGTCATATTTAAGACTTAAAAAAATTAGAAATTTATAATTTAAGTAATAATTATTTCTTAGCCCACTTTGGAAATGAAGAACATTTCTGATTTCTTTTCGCATTCAATCGATATTCCGACTGGGACTCTGCTGGTAAGAAAACCAGACTGACTGAAGAAATAACGGCAGAAGCCAATGTCACAGAGGAAACCCTAATGGAACTTTCGGAACCAAAGCCGTGAAATATCGTTCTTGGTTCCTCTATTACTTTTGAACAACTGCAGCCCGCAGATGTTGATTGGCCTACCTGCTGGACTTTAGATCAAATAAATTATTTTCTTGTGAAATATGATTGGCTATCTATGATAGAATCTATCCATAATAAAAAACTTGGTTGTATCCCTTGCCGAAAATTTGGCAATCTCGGAGTCGATGCAAGGATGGGAATGAAGGTATCGAACGAATGGGCCGACAATAAAATAACTTACTTCGGTACTAATCGACAACAACAGCTTATGTCTTTAAGAAAGAAATTATTCGATCATAAAGAAACTGTGGCACACAAAGCTGCGTTTAAGTTCCTAACAGAAGCCGAGGCAGCACCTATTGAGAACGTGTTGTTAAAGGCATTAACTCGTGAGAAAATCGTAACTGCAAAGATTTTTCGTACAGCATATAAAGTAGCCAAAGAAAACCAATCGTTTCATAATTTCGAATCTGAAAAAGTTTTTCAAGAACTAAACGGAGTTGAGATGGGCCGTATTCTTCATTCAACCAATGTTTGCATAAATGTAGTGAATCACATTAGTTGTGAAAAGAGAAAAAAATTGTTACAAGAAATTGTACAGTCGAACAATAAAATTTCATTGATCATTGACGAATCAACTACGCTTAGCCAAAAATCGACTTTAATTGTGTATATTCGTGTTTGTCTTGCAGACAGTGGAATGACCTCACCAGTAAATTTATTCTTGGATTTGGTTGAACTCGAAAGTGTAACTGCAAATGGAATTTTTGCTTCTTTACTACACTGCCTTCATTTCTATGGGTTAACAGAAGACTTTCTAAGAAGGAACTTAGTTTCTCTTGCATGTGATGGAGCAGCTGTGATGTTGGGAAGCAAAAGTGGCGTCAAGACATAGCTAAAAGAAAAGTTTCCATCGGTTCTGGTTTGGCATTGTGCAAATCACCGACTGGAACTCTTTGTTGGTGATGTCGTAAAACAAGTTTCAGGGATCAACAGATTTAAGGCATTCATTGATAAACTGTATGTAGTTTATAATTCTTCACCCAAAAAATGCAGAGAATTGCAAATATGTGCTCGTTTGTTGGAGGCTGAGTTGTTAAAAATTGGAAAAATGTTAAGCACGCGATGGGTGGCATCCAGCTTCCGTTCTGTTTTAGCAGTGAGGGAAGATTATGAAGTTTTGGTACAATATTTTGAAGAATCAAAACTTGACTCAACCAGAGAAAAAAAAGATCAATGCATGTATGAAGGTTTGCAGCGAAAGATGACTTCTACTGAATTTGTACTAGACCTCGGATTGATTTGCGTTGCGCTCCAAGAATTGTCAGAGTTAAGTTTGGATTTGCAAGAGCGCAACATCGACATCTACAGAGCAGATCAAAAAATCAAGGCTGTTATACAGATTTTTGAAGAAAGGCAAATTATTCCAGGCCCTTATTATAAAATTGTGGCCACTGCTGTAGATAGTAACCTTTTCAAAGGAGTTTCACTTCACACCAAAAACTGTACCAGTGATCCACCAATTGACGTAAAAGCTTTTTATAAAAATCTACAAGAATCAATGGAACAAAGGTTGCTTTCTAGTGAAGATGCTGAGTTGGCGTATTGGGCTCGAGTGCTCGATACAAAGCAATGGCCGGAAAACATTGATACTCACTCAACATTTGGCGAAACAGAAATGAGAAACTTGTCAACAAGATTGCAATTAAACGAAAGAATAATGATTCGCGGATTTCATGAATATCTCATCGAAAAAAACATTTCGGATAAACTACTTCCTTTGCAAATTGCTCTCAGTACAATCCCGATTTCTTCACGTGAAGCCGAAAGAGGATTTTCGCAAACGAAACTGATCATCACTCCGACAAGAAGTTCATTGATGACAACAACTGTATCTTCACTGTTATTTATCAGATTAGTTGGACCACCACTCGTACGTTTTGACCCTACAAGATAGGTTGATTCATGGTTGCTTAGAGGCAGACATTCAGCCACAGATATCAACAGCAAAGAACGCAGTCGGGAGTATACGTCAGATGAGAACTTGATCAAACTTTGGAATTTATTATGAATAATTTATTCAACATTTATTTTTCATTTTAAACCGGGGGCCGTCCATAAAGTAGTCACGCTATTTTTTACCATTGTACCCCTCCCCCTCCCCCTGTCACAAAATGTCACAAATCTCGGACCCCCCCCCCCTCCAAAGTACGTCACATTTTCAAAAAAAAATATTTTAATTAACACCTAATTAAAATTTAATCCAAAACACACTTCATTATTAAACTGTATTTAAATATAAAATGTCCACTTAAAAGAACTATCACATTATTAAAATGGCTTTAATAGTAGAATAGTTACTAGCGCTCCTACCGAGAGGAATCGTGAACAACACATTCAGGAGATACGCATTTCATGCTATTTTCACATAAAGCTAATTCAAATGTTTCACAAAATATTTGAAAATTATTTTTAAAGCTATTAAATTCTGCAAAAAAAATAAATTAGAAATAAAATTTAAAAAATAAATGTGTGACGTCACACATGGCTTGACCCCCCCTCCCCCTGTCACAAACTGTCACACTTTCTTACACCCCCCCTACAAAATATTTGAAAATTATTTTTAAAGCTATTAAATTCAGCAAAAAAAATAAATTAAAAATAAAATTTAAAAAATAAATGTGTGACGTCACACATGGCTTGACCCCCCCTCCCCCTGTCACAAACTGTCACACTTTCTTACACCCCCCCCCCCTCTGGAGCGTGACGTACTTTATGGAAGGCCCCCAGGGTTCTTTCCTATAAAACAAAAGAGAACTTAACACAATTTTTTTAAAAGTAAATCAAGAATAACTTGAATAAGTTGTTAGTTAAATTTTACAAATCATAACAAATGTATACGGTATACCAATAAAGTAATAATAAAAAAAATTAAGTTGGTTAATTATAAAATAAAATTGTTTTAGACATTTAGAATCTTTGCAGTTGTGATTTAGCTTGCATCGAGGTGCGAACTGGTAGTTAAAAGTTAAGCAATCCATCACTGAGTACCGGCACCTTTTTTTCCAAAAAAAGCACTGTGTTCAGTAACAGTAAACATGTTTGTAATATATTATGGTTTGTTTTTCGTAAGCAAAGATGACCAAAGCTTTGACTTGAGTAGTGGACTTGACTTAAGCTGTATTTTGTTAAAAGTGAGGGAGAGTTGCTCAATTCGGCACGTTCTTTTCTTTGTCTATTTGATCCAATGGCAAGACAACTGAAAATAGACCAGGATGCTGTTGGTTACCAGTAGTATTTTTGTGTCTTTCACTGTGCGTTCTTTATGCGTTCTACATCACAGGAGTTGTTGGAATGTTCATTGTCTCAATGTCATACCACATACGGGACTCCATCTCCGGGTATGATTTCAGAGTTTTCTTTCTCTTCGATGAATTGCCATCCAAGGTTAAAGAGTCGCATCCACCCGGGGTGCTAGTATTGTTTTTGCTTGTCTACACTTTTGCCGGGGATTGATCTCCAGTTGACAAGCTTGAGCTTGACTCAGTTAAGATCGCTCGGGCTACCCAGCACCACAATGTTTGTAATGTAATCTTAGACAAAAATATTATGTGTGAGTTAACTACATTATTCTCCTGTTGCTGCATGTATTTGTTTCTGCTGCTGATATCTGTGCAGCAGTTATAATTAATAAAGAAAATATAATTAACATTTTTTTGGCTATTCAAATTATGCAACAGACTGCACGAAAAAACAAAATATTTTCATGACACTTGGATAGGAAATCGCCTTTCTGCTACTTGTTTTAATTATCTTTTTTTTAATATCGGGTAAATGAAAATAATTGTCCCGCCAAACATTGTTTGTGAATTATGTCAGTGGTAGCTCCTAGTATGAAAAAATGCTAAGTATAAATATGTATTTACGTATAGGACTATTTTGTTACATTGATAACAAGTATTGCAACGATCAAAAAAATTATTTGTTCCACATTTAGGTTTAGTTATTGCTGTAAAATAAAATTTGTATAAACTTTAAAAATAATGCTTCAACGTCTAGCGATGTAAGGAAATAAGCATCGCAAGGTTGGGGGGGGGGAACCTGAAACAAAACAAAAAACAACCTAAACAACACTCGTATCCGCATAAAGAATTCTTCGTGGAACAAAAGCAAAAGTGAATAGTCAAATAAAATCACCAGAACTTATTTGATGCTTTGAAGATTTCGAGAGAAAACTGTTAACTTTAACCATGACATTCATACCCAGCCGTATAATCAGTAATACAAAAGATTATATATTAAAGTATAAATCGGCGCATTCAATGACGTGGAAGCTTCTCCTTGGACTCCATTGAAATCAGTCACACTGGCTTGATGACGTGATTAAAGTTCAAACGTAGGTCACAAATGGCGTTTACAAAGTCATGCAAAATCACTCTTGTACAATTATATATATTTTTACTATCATACTTG